TACCTATGAGGGCCCTTTGCTGTGTAAGCATGAGGACCCAAGTTCAAATCCCCAGCACCCATGAAGAAATTTGAGGTGTTTGGGTGCATGCACCTGTAATCTCAATCCTGTGAAGGGTAGAAGACATATTGAAACCACTGGAGCACGCTGGTCCTTGTCTGAAGGTAACAAGGGACAGGGACAATCACATGACGTCCTTCTTTAGACTGTGTGCATAGTTGCAAACACATGTGTGTACACAACACACACACACCCAAATTTTAATTGCCTTGTTAGAGTCATTTCTGAAATATTGGAATCCTTCCATGAATCTAATCAATTTCTTGATTTAGCTATGCCGGTCTTTTCCATGTGTACGTTTAGGCTGGACGCATTTAGAATACATCAAATGGAATTTAATATTCTATATTTCCACTAACATGAAATTCTATATTTCCACTAATATGGCATGCATAGTTCTGAAAGCTTTGAAAATACAGTGTAAGGATATTTCTGACAGAGTTTTGCTTTTCTAAACAACTTTTAAAATAATGAGCTTTGGGGCCAGACAGTGGTGGAACATGTCTTTAATCCCAACACTCTGGAGACAGAGACAGGTGGGTCTCTTGTCTACGGAAAGCTAGTTCCAGAACAGCCAGAGTTATACAAAGAAACTCTTGTTTCAAAAGTCCAAAACCAAATCAAACTGAAACAAAAGCTTTTTGTCATTTCAAGAGTAGCAGAAACTATCCAGAGTATTATTGAATGAATTTTACTTTCAGATGTTTTGACCACTTTACAGATTTAAAAAAAAATCTATCAAGGATATTACATTTTCAAAATTCTACATCTCTAATGCGCGTGCGCGCACACACACACACATACACACACACCTATCCAGTTTGTAGTATGCTACAATAGTTTTGTCTTTCTTTTAAAGAGAGCTGATTCATAAAAGAATTCTGGGTCACAAAATACAACATGACAATCCTCTCAGGCTAAGATGGCTGTTCCTCAGACACAGGGAGCATGTTCCTGCCTGGGGCCTTCACACGGATTCTTCCTGCTCCCTGCCACGGCTTTGCCCCCAGATAGCTCTGCCTACTCTGGTCTCTGCTCAAATGTCAGCCTTACCACCAAGGCTTTCCTCGATGATCCCATCAAAACAAGTCATCTCAGAACACCAGTCTGCCTGATGCTAGCCCCTCTGCTTTTATTGCTGTGGCCATTTTCCTGTCTCCCTGGTAGAGTGGGAATCCCAAGTGGACAGGGCACTTGATCTCTTGTTCTCTATGCGTCCCACATGCTGACACTACAGGGGTTTGACACAATGGGTTCAACAAACAAGTACAAATGTGGTGAAATAATTGTGCATGGGAACCTTTGACACATCAGCCACGGTGTTCTGGCTTTCAGGGATGCTGCCTGTCCTGTGCTGCTATGCACCCTCAGCATCCCTCCAAGGCCACAACACTGCTAGCACATGAACTGTGCTAGATGACCACCCTACAGGCTTTCCCCAGAAACCTTTCTGCTCATCTAAGCCACAACAACAGCTATGATGTTTTTGACACTTAAGTCACTACTCCCTGGAGGGGTAGGGGAATCTTAGCTAACTGTTGCAAAATCCATGGGGTGATGGGTGGGGGTGGGGAGTGATGGTTCACGGTAGCAAGAACACCCAACAGGCCATTAGGAAACTCTCTCTAGTTCTGAGCTTCCCGCTTGTCAATTCTGTTACCTGAGTGACTTGGTTTTTCTTGAGGTTAATTTCCTTTGGACGGAAAAACAGACACTTGTTGTGAAGCATGGTCACAACCATAAAAAGAAAGGTGTTTATGAATCATACGTAGTAATGTAGAATTCAGGCATGAAGGGACAGCAAAGGCAGCCAGACTTGGAGTTCTGGAGTCTTCTAGAATAAATACAGGCTCTATGACTAACCAGTTCTGTGACATTACACAAGTTACTTATCATCTCTGGCTGTCATTTCTTATTTGTAATGTAACCATCTCAAAGAGGGGCTGGAAGGGATGTCGAGACACAGGAACAAGTCACAAACTGGTCCTGTCTGTAACATAGGTACTGTGGTTTGAATAAGAAATGTCCTTCACAGGCTTGGTTCCCAGTTGGTGGTGCTGTTTGTGGAACCCTTGGGTGGCACAGCCCCGCTAGAGGAAGTGCATCACTGGGGGAGGGGTTTGAGAATAAACAGCCTTACCAACCTCCGGTTTGCCCTCTCTGCTTCATGCTTGGGGTTGAGATATGAACTCTTTGGCTTCTTGTTGCAGCCCCCACATCCTCCACTTGCTGCCACGCTCTCCCATCATGATAGACTCTTATCCCTCTGGACCCACAAGCCAAAGTAAACCCTTCCTTCTAGAAGCTGCCGTGGTCAGGGTGTTCTCCGCAGCAGCAGCAAAGCAACTAAGGCAGTCCCTAGTGAGGGCTCCTCGTTGGTATCTCGGCATGATGCGTTCAGGGCAAATAAGAACTGCTGGGGGCTTGTGCCCATAGAGAGGTGTTCTGTGTCTCGGATCCTTCAGCCTCCAGCTGTAGGCAACCCCTATTGTAACATCTGTCTGCGGCTGAAATGAAACATTTCTAAAGACTCACATATGCTAAATGTTCCAACAGAAAGTCAGTTTCACCCTGGAGGCGAGGAGACCAAGGGAGGCTTTACTGAGCAAGTAGGAGGCAACAGGGCTGGGTTAGAGCTCAGGCCAAATGGGGACATTTGTGTGTTGGGAATTGTCAGGTAGAATGATGTCTAGGTCATTCACTCTCAGATGACCTCCTCATGTATCAGTGTGTACGTTAAGTGTATTAGTACTACAGCTATTCTGCCTTGGTTCAAATCCTGGCCCTGATATGTACCTGCATGGCTTCAGTTTCCTTGTCTGTGAGCTGGGTATAGAGAGTAAGACCTGTCTAAGAGCTGCCAGGAAGCTTAAATTTGAGACTCCCATACAACATATAGAGTAGACATTATAATATTTATTTTGTGCAAAATTACAATACACATTAATTCTTTTCAAAAGTTCCAGGGTCTTTTGATCTCCACAGATGTCTCCCCCAACTCTTAGCTTACATACACACATACAGACACATATAAACACACACACACAAAGTTTTAAAAGTCAGGCTCGACGTGATGGCAAATGCCTTTAATCTCAGCACTCAGGAGATAGAGGCAGAGGGATATCTTTAAGTTGAGTCCAGCCTGGTCTACATAGACAGTTCCAGGACAGATAAGACTACATAGGAGACCCTGTCTCAGAAAATGAAAAATAAAAAATCATAAATCTTTCATAATGAAAAAATAAGATAAGTTGTGGTGTTGTATGTAATGAGAAGATGCCCGGAGTACAGGTGAGGTGTCTGTATGTCCATCTGAATACGGACGAGATGGCTGGGTGTCTACTCGAACACAGGTAAGGTGGCTAGCTATCTGCTCCTCTCTCAAATGGCCACACCAGGCCTTTTTGCTTAGAACAAGTAGATATCTCCAAGCATCTCATCCATCACCCCACCCCCAAAACCAAACAGCCCCTAGAAATGGATTAACCATTTCGTGTTATTGTTACTGGCCTTTGTCCGTACCCATATGATGTAAATTGTCATTTACTTACGGCTTCCTTTACAGTCACTCTCACTTTCCCTTAAAAGTTCACTGTAAAAGCCAAGCTTTAGTCTCCCTGAGAGCACAATTGTGAACCAATTCACTATCCAGAAGCGTCAACAAAGGGAAGAAATGGAGTATCGATTCTGTCCTTTTCTGTGTGAACCAGATCACCAGGAAACAAGCAAGGAGAATGTTTTGTAAAAAAGCATTCCAGCTAGCAAATGCAAAACAGATATTCCCATCTGACAATCTCCAATTGGACTAATTAGACTACGCTAATGGACTTAGTGCTGAGAGCATCAGTCTGGGCCAGCATCACCAAGGTGCTGAAGCATTTCCTATGAACACATCTGGAACCTAGGGGCACCTACCATCTTCCTAAAGGATAGAAGCTGAGTCTGACCAAGCCTCTAGCTGTCAGTTTCCAGAAAATGCAAGGGAGAGACAGAAGCAGGCAGAGATGCTATGAGAGTGTAGTTAGCAAAGCCCAGGCTGAAACCACTACAGACCAAACAGCCCAGAATGCCCAGCAGATCCAAGAACAGATAAAAGAAGGTGACAAATGAAATGGCTTTGAGGGCTCACTTGATTAGCCATCAAAGGTATATCAAATTAGATGCAGACTACCCCTGCATCCAACCCATCTCATGTAAAGGGAGAGATGTGAAGTCAGTGTGTAGGTTGGAAGGCAAAGGGTCTAGAAGAACCCTTCAGAATCCATCCCTGAAAGCCACTGGCCTTTCATAGAACCATGTCTCTGGGAATGAACTCTTAATTTGCACTTGTGCTTGGGCTTTTCTCCTGGGCACGGAGGTCAACATCTGACAGGAACAGGGAAGGGTCAGAACCCACTGAAGTGACATCTTAACTCTTGCTGGGACAGCAGCAGAGAGAGCATGAATGTTCCCTACTAATCCTCATGGCAGTATTATGAAATGACTAGCCCTTCCCTACAACCCTTTGCCCAACCTCAGATGCTCTCTCAGTTAGTACTGAGCTCTCAGGAAATCCTCCTCTGGGAAGGCCCCTAGCAAAGGCCTCAGGCAACCTGCAGAAATGTATGCACGCTCCTCCAAAGAGCTAGTAAGGCTGCTACTATCTAGACTATAAGATTTGCTGAGGCCCTGTCCCTAAGTCACCCCTTAATGCTCGAAAAGACTTAGATTGTCTGAGTATAAAATGATTTGCCTGAGTTGGGACAGCATCTGCCCCAGGGGACAGTGTTCAGTGGCAACGTTGGGAATTTTCAGTTGACTTCTGTGGGCCCAGCATCCTTTAGTTTCTACAAGGCAAACTGCCCAGGTGTCTCCTTAGGATGACTACTGTTAGGATAGCATGATTGGCCCAAACCCATGGAAACCCTGGAAGTGGCTACTCAAAGAGCTGGACACATTACCATGGTCTGGAAGCAGGAATGCAGCTGAGTCAGGAACGGGGGCTTCCCAGGCAGGGCCAGCACCCTCTTCTCCACCATTGTGCACTCCACATCATCGTCTTGGATCACCACATCTTTCTTCAGGATCTTCACAGCATAGAGTTCATCTGTACCCTTACGCTCAGAGAGCATGACCTGAGAAGAACAGCAAGCACATCAGCTCAGTTAGAAGAGGCCTAGAAGACAAGCACGGGTACCTGGAGTCCATGCAAACTACTCCCAGCTTTGGACAGACGTGTTGCGTTAACCCAGCGATAATGAATAACACTTTGCAACCACCTCACACTTTGAGTGGTTAAGTCCTATCAATAGAAGACTGTCCTAGGGAAGACAAGACTGTGTTGAACTCTTTGGCACACCCATCAGTAACAACAGCAGCCAGCATGGCTAGAATGATGATTACCTCCATGGAATCAAATTTCACTTGAAATCTTCAAAAGGATCAGACATGTGGTAGAGAATCAGTAAATCCTCACAGCACAGGAATGAGTGAATGCTTGGTAACAGTGAGTTTGAGACACTCTCTCCTTTATTGCTTCCGTGTGTCCTGCTCTGTAAGAGCCTGCTGGAAAAGCAGCAAGAATCAAGCAGCCATGCTCCCTGACCCTGAACTCAGGGAGGAAAAGAGAATGGACATTTAACTATAGGATTAGTCAATGCATGGCTTTAACAGTCTCACCTCCTGTCTTGGGATTTCTTCCTACAAGCTGTGGCCATAAGCGGGGTCACCAAACCAGGTGGCATATGGACATAGTGTTATTTTCATTATGGTAGTATTTATTCTTGCTCTTGACTCTGTCAGAAGAACTATGCCTTGCATGTGCTATTTACAAGGAAGCTCTTGGGAAGCACAGGCCTGGATCACATTCCAAGGAGACCTAGCCTTTCTGGGAAGCCTTCCCTGAGGACAGAGTGATCTGACTGGCATATTTACTAAAGACACTATGTTATCTGTTTTGTAAGCAACACTAATCAGCACCGTATTTTTGAGTGCTTATCATCGTATCGAGCAATTATTGGTTTTCCTTTGTTATCTCTTATTTGCTTTGTGTAAGATTCTAGGAAGTAGATACTGCTGTGACTCTTAAAAGAAACTGGAACATAGAAGGGTATGTAGCCTGCCCAAGTACAACTCAGAGCAAGGGCAGAATTTTAACTTAGGTTTATATGGTCAAAGTTTCTGTCTTTATCCTATTATTATCATCATCATCATCACCACCACCACCACCATCATCATCATCATTACGTGTATTTTGTGCAGGTACTGGAGTGGCATGGCAGACATGTGGAGGTCAGATGGCTCTTGGAAGTAGGTTTTCATTCTTCCTGGGATCCAGAATTCAAGCTCACACTGTCAGGTTTGCACAGCAAACACCTTACCCATGGAGCCATCTCATCAGCCCAGACTTCCTATCTTTAGAGATTAAGAGACTCCGACTAAAGTGCTCAGTCCTGACACACATGAACTAGACAATGCATCAGAGATTTGGGGCCACATGGAGTAGGAAGGGATACCCAGGAGCTTACAGGTGGGTCAGCGTACCCTCCGAGCTACTGTCCTAACAGAAACGGTCCACCTGGACTCAGTCATGGAAGCTTCTAGGGTCCCGCATCCACACACTAAAGCTTTAAGGGAGACCTCAGCAACTTTCTTGAGCTCACCCGGACTCTTGCTTCTACTGTCTTCTCTGTCTTACAATCACTGGTGACCATGGGCACTACAGACTCGGGGTCATGTAGGATGCTTTAGGAAGAAAGCTTCCAGCACACAGTTTCACTGCAGAGAGCCTTTTCTCTGCCTCCGTCTCCCACGGAGCTGCCCATCTCGGTGGCTGTTACCTGTGCCGCACTGACAGGGCCCTCAGAATAACTACTGGCTTAGGTGGCAATCCAGCTACGGAGTCAGGATGTGTCTTTGGTGTACCCCCTCCCCTTATCTGCTCTCTACATGGTACTCAAATTCCTAGCCTTTGCCAAGGCAGGGACAATGACCAAAGGGAACCAATGTCCTGAGGCAGAGAAGCAGATGGAGGTGGGGTTTTCTGCTCTCTGATTGCAGAGAAACCCAAGAGAGAAGAACACAGGGAACAGCAAGGTGATCAGGATTGGATGCAAGGGAGGAGAAGGACCAGAGAAGGGCGGAGAGCCTGCACCCAAGAGGCTAAAATATCCTGTCACACCCAGACCTTCAGTCACAGTCCAGGACCCTCCTGTCTGTCCTTAGTGGAGAAACCAAAGCGACTGCATCCAGGACTAGGGAACAGTGACACAACGGAACCACCTGGCCTGCCCTCATGTACCTTTTCCACATTTTTTTCTTAATACCTAAGCTGGCATTTGCTGTTTTAAGAATCTAGTCATTGCCTGGCACATCCCAGATACTTAGATAAGGACAGCAAAAGGAAAAATACAAATCGTTAGCCACAGAGCTAGCAATGGCCATGGCCACATTCCCCCGTGTTTCTGAAGTGAAAATAAATCTCTTATTAATTGCATTGAGCAGTTCCTGGAGCTTCCAGAAACTTTAATACCAGCAAGGAGGACGTGGGTTGTTTGCCCAGCTGTCCCCGCGTCTCCAGGGCGAGGATTCCACACAGATTGGAAGGATGTGTTGAAGTAACGTTCTTATCAAATTCCAAGCCACATCTGTTACCCAAGAATCTTCAGGGAGAGATGTGATAAATAGCAGAACTCCAGCGACAGCAAATAAAATAGAGAAAAGCAGCCCAAGGACTCCCTGGTGGAAAGCTTGTGGTGATGAACTTTGCTGCCGGATCCCCACGGTGAGGTGTAACCAGTATCTTGGCCTCTGGCCATGGAGTGGGTAGTGCTCTGCAATGGTGAGTGTATGGATGTGAGAGGCAGAATGCCTGGTATGTATTCAAAGTAGGCCATAAAGTAACTGTGCGACATTAGGAAGTTCACTTGTCTTTTCTGAGCCTCAGTTTCCTAATCTGTCAAATGGGTATGCCAAAAAAAAGTCTCAGCTGGTGTCTGGGGGACCTAATGAGACAGGGTGTAGAAAATGCAACTTAAATAGCACTGATGACCACTTAACACCCAGCACTGGGCTGTCTCCCAGGCCGGGCATAGCTAAGAACAAAAAACAAGGTGCCTTCAAACAACAGAAACATATCCTTTCAGAGTTCTAGAGGTCAGAAGTCCAAAGTCAAAATGCTGGCAGGGTCAGCTGCTAGTGAAGAGTGAAAATAATCCATTCTGTGTCTCTCTTCCAGCTTCTGGCAGCTGCCAGCTAGCCTTAGTACTCTTGGCTTGTAGATACACAGACCTCTCCAATTTTCACCCCTTTCTTCACACTGTGTCCCTCCCTGTTGTCCTGTGTCTGTGTCCCAATGTTCCTACAAGGACACGTTACACTAAGGCCCACTCTAATCCAGAGTGACCTCATATCAACTCAATGCCATCTGCAGAAATCTTATGTCTGAGGAAAGTCACCTCCACACAGACCAGGGTTAGAATTTGAGGTTGCCTTTTCTTTTTAATTTTAGGATGGTGAGAGGGAGGACAGTGTATGGAATTTTAAAAGTCTGTCATCTTTCCTGTGAAAAGCCTGGGGGATGGCTTGCCCTTGAACCAGGCTCCTGAGGTTGCTTTTCACCAGCTCTGCTCCCAGTCTTCTTACCTCCAAGTCCCCACAGACGACACTCCACACAGCAAAATGATGTCTGAAAAGCTCAAGTCAGCTCGTACCACCCACTTGGCTCTCCTGAGACCTCCCTCTGTCTTCCTGGAAACCCCATATCTCTCAGGTGGGTCTCTGCCTGTAGGACTCTTCGCCAGGCTTTCAAGCCTCTGCTCTCTGACCTCCTGGTGGCGGCTCACATGTCACCGTGACCCTGGTGGGGTCCTGACTGCCTACTTTCCTTTCGCATCAGTGCCCATGTCAAGGACACCGTTTCATCTCACTCCACAGTGCTTTACTTTTGTGTGTATATATGTGTGTGCACACGTATGGTGTAATCACGTGAGTACATGGGTGAACACCCATGAGTGTACTCGTGGAGGCAAGAAGCCGTTTCGGGTATCTTCCCCATTTTATTTTTTGAGACAGGGTCTTTCCCCAAACACAGAGCTCATAATTTTGGTTAGATTTTCAGGCCACTGTGCTCTGGACACCCACCTCTAGGGATCCACCTGTGTCCGCCCATCTTCACTCCCCAGTGCTGAGACTGCAGATGCATGCTGCTATGCCTGACTTTTAGGTGGGTTCAGGGGATTCGAACTCTGGTCCTCATCCTTGTGCAGCAGGCACTACTTCACCCACTGAACTATCTCCCCATGCTCCTCATGGCACCACAGCAGGCGCTGCACCGATCATCTGCCTTATCCTTTCCCTCTGTGAGGTCAGACAGTTTGCCGATGCTCATATTCCTAACACGCAGCACACAGTCAGCAGTGAACCAATATCTGTGCACTAAGTGAGGTAACAGATCTGAGTGAGAAGAGGCAGCTGCAACTGCCTAGATCTAGGTCACCTGCTCAGGGCTTCAAGTGCTTAGAACTCGGAATCACTTAATGTGTGTAGATGACTTCACTCAGCCCATATTTCCCAAAGAACCTGAGAGACTATTCAAGATTATATAACATAAACAAGTGAAATGTATGGCTCATAAACATACCTCACCACAGATGATCATAAATGATTCTACACTATGTCGCCAACCCCTATGTCTATGGGTTTCCATATGTGTGTATATAGTATATATATTCAATACATTATTTTGCCTTCTTCTTCTCTTCCCACTCCCCTCTTCACCTCCTTGTCATCTTTCCTCTCTCTCTCCTCTTCCCTCCCTCTCTGCTCCTCCCTCTTTCCTAGAAGCCAATACAACCAGCAATACACAAAATGCAATAATATTGATACTTTCTATAAGGAAAGTGACTTCGTTTTCAAGCAGAAAAGCATGCTCTTCCTGGAACTTAGATCTGAAGACAATTCCTTCCTTGCACAGAGCTTTGTACATGCAGAGGTATAGTGAATGATGTTCTTACCATCATCCCATAACAGGTCAGAGGAGCAGGAACAACACATGCAGGTGAATCGGAGGCTGAGAGCTAGGTGTGGCGGCTGTTTCATGTCAACTTGACACAAACTAGAGTTATCTGAGGGAGGT